GTGGGTCCTACTCGGCCTCAGGGTCGGTGGCCTGGATAGAGTATAAGGGACAGAAAGAGGGCTGCAATTGCGGCATGTCCCTTGTTGCTTCTCTGCTTCACTGCTGGTGGCCTTGCTGCCTGCTGTGGACTATTCTTCCTCTCTGATGCCCCTCTGCCTTGCAGTCAGGCTGACTATGGACTGAAATCTCTACAAACTAACCAAAAATAAATCTTTCCTCCTTTAACTTTGGATGTCAGGTATTTGGTCTCAGCAATGATTAAAGTAACTAAGAGATTTTTATGTTTTATTCATCGCTGTTTCCCAGGTACCTGGAACAGAGCCTGTTATCGAGTGGTGCTCATCATTTGTGAAATGACATTTAATCCAGACATTGACTAGGTGAACAGTGAGGATCTTTTCAGGACAGTGTCTCTGACAGTTTGATTCATAAAAGGCATTTCATCCAACCCTTCTAACACGAGAGAGTGCACTGTTGGTTTTGTTTTATGAGCTAGTATTTGAGCCATGGCAGCATCAGATTGCCTGCATAATGAAATCAGAAGGGATTGTAATGGAACTCGCTTACTATGCCTGTAAACTGAACAAGAAGACTGATCCTGTATCTTAGCAAGTGAGAGTATTAGGCTACCTCAATTTCTAATGCCCAATTTCGGGGTTTTCAGGAAGTTTTACCTGATATAGTTAATTTACATTCTGTGATTGCCAATATTTGACAAAAGCCTTTTTTTCTTCTAAAAGGGATTTTATTCTAGTGATAGGGCCATGGTTTATCTTTTCGTCTTACTTTTCACATTTTATTTAGCAAGCATTTATTACTTTAAAATGAGAAATAAAGAGGGCCGGCGAGATAGCTCAGCAGACTAAGCACCTGCTTTAGCAAGCAGAGGGACAAGGGTTCGATCCCTGGTCCTGCATGCCATGCTGGCCCTGCCGCTGGGGTACGCTGAGCTGGTGACCGAGTCCAGGCGTGGTGGCCGCACACCTGTAATGCCAGCGCTGGGGAGGCTGAAAACAGGATCACTACGAGTCTGAGCTGCATAGTGAGACCCTGTAACAAATACATAAAATGAAAATAAATAAAATGAGAAATAGGGACACAGTTCAGTAGTAGTTGCTTGTCTACCATGTGTGAGGGTCTGGGTTCTATCCCTAGTACCATAACAAAACATAAATTTAAAAAATGAGACATAATCAATAACTTAAAATTACACTGATCCAGCAAGTCTGCAAAACTTTTATAAGGCAGAGAAACATTTACAACTCCATGTTCAAATTGCCATCTCATTTAAATTAGAGGAACTGGCAATGAGAGTAGGGCTTTGGGATTAGGCAAGATCAAGACAAAGGGAGTTTCTCATGCAGAGATTCAAAGGTGTGTTCAAGAAACTGACTGGAGGGGGGCTGGTGAGATGGCTCAGTGGTCTAAAGCACCTACTTAGAACAAGCTTAGCAAAGCAAAGCGACCATGGTTCAATCCCCCAGCACCACATGCCAGCCAGCCCCGCCCCCTGGTGGACTGAGCTGGCCACAGACACACACACACACAAAATAAATAAATAAAATTAGAAAAAAAAGAAACTGACTGGAGAAGAGGATCTGATTTTGTGATCCAGGCCAACAATGGACAGGAGACAGTGGGCCTTTGGGGTTTCTCGGGGTCCTCTTTGGGGCAAGGAGTGCTTGTATTCGATATCCAAGGAAACTGCATGGATTAAAGTCACAAGTTAACTTAGAAAGACATAGTACAACTTCGGTTACTGATGAGATATTTAGGATTCGAAGTTAAAGTAGATGCGGTGCATAAAAGTACTTCATATACTGGGAAGGGCTCCACAAATACTGGTGCTGT